TTTTGTGACTGGTCTACCCTCTTCCAATAACCACTCTGTCTTTCTCAGTCGTTGATCGCTTCTCCAAGATGTCCCACCTGATACCTCTTCGCAAACTGCCTTCCTCCAAGGAGCTGGGAGAGATTCTGGCCCGGGAGGTGTTTCGCTTGCATGGGCTGCCAACTGACATTGTTTCTGACAGGGGACCCCAGTTTGTCTCTGGATTCTGGAAGGAATTCTGTGGTCTCCTGGGTATCACAGTGAGTCTCTCATCAGGGTTCCACCCTCAAAGTGACGGATCAACCAGGAAGTGGAGACCAAGCTTCGGATGCTCTGTGAACATGATCCCTCTTCTTGGTCACAGAACCTACCATGGGTGGAGTATGCACTCAATTCTCTCCCTTCTACTTCTACAGGGCTGTCTCCCTTTTACACCGTTTACGGTTACCAGCCTCCTGTGTTGTCTCTTCAAGAAAGTCGCTTCGGCCTTGAAGTGCCAGCAGGTATGGCGTCAGGCCCGCAGGGCTTTTCTGAAGACCTCCGCTGTATGTTGCAGATTTGCCAATTGTCGCAGAGTTCCAGCACCCACCTACCTCACAGGACAGAGTCTGGCTATCCACCAAGGACCTCCCCTTGCGGATTGAAAACCGCAAGCTAGCCCCTCGTTTTATTGGACCCTTCCCGATCTCCAAAGTGATCAACCCGGTGGCTGTTCGGCTCCGCCTCCCCAGGACTCTCGGGGTTTGTCCCACCTTTCATGTGTCCCGTGTCAAACCTGTCTTCTCTTCACAGTTGGTGCCCTCCTCCCGCCCGGATGATTGATGGAGGCCCCGCTCACACTGTACGTCGTCTCCTTCAGTCCAGATGTTGGGGCTGGTCCATCCATTACTTGGTGGACTGGGAGGGATACAGGCCTGAGGAGTGCTCCTGGGTGCCGGTCCGGCATGTTTTGGACAGTCCCTAACCAGGGAGTTTCATCGGTCCAATCCTGACCAGCCTGGTGGTCCTTCTGGAGCTGGATCTTGAGGAGGGGGTACTGTTATGATTCATGTCCTGTCCATGCTGTATTCAATTCACCTGCCATGCCTGATTGCTTACCTGTTCCACCTGGGCCTTGCCCTACTTAAACACACCTCAGCCTCTGCTTCCTTGCCAGATTATCAACAGCCACGAGCCAGTAGAGATCCAATGTTTCCTTCCAAGCCTTCAGTGTTTCTTCAACCCCCCCACTTCTGACCACAGATTTGCCCCTCACGGATCCCTTCTTTTCTGGACCCTGACCCAAGCTCTGCCTCTCGACCACCGATTACTGCCTGCCCCTCAAAGCTAAGTTTGCTCTCTCTGTCCTCCTGTGTATGACCTCAGCCTGATTATCAACAGAGTCCCTGGGTGTTACATTTTGGATCTCCCTGTGGAGATGTTCATTGCCTCCACAGAACCCTGTTCCATTGGTTTCCTGCATCTCCCTGTCATCAGACCCTCTGCTCCACCCGTCCATTGCTCTGCAGGTCAGTTAAGCTGAACATTTCTAAGATACTCCTCCTTTATCCGTGCATCACCAGTCTTCTCCCATCTCTCCTCAGTGCTGCGTTTGATGACCTCTCCCTGAGCAGAAACCAGTATCTGAAAAAATAAACTTTTTCCCTTTTTGTATACTCCTGTGTGTGGTTGAATTTCCGGGTGCCCTCTGAGTGTCCTTACACATTCAACAAATTGTTTCTTCAACACTCTGTACTAAATCTTTATATATAATTTTTGTATGTTCTCTTTTTCTTCCCTTTTCATTCTAATATTATTTGAACTATGAATTTTACTAAATGTTCTTGCCAATATTTCAGCTTTGTCTTCATCTCATATTTATCATCTATTTTTAATAAAGGATATTCAAACTCTGTTTATACCATTCATTCTTTTGATTACTTTCCAAATTTTCTCAATTTTTGTTTCTTTCCCTATTGTATTACAAAAATTTCTCCAATATTCTCTCTTTGTATTTTTTTTATAGTTCTCCTTACTATTGCTTGTTTTCTTTTATAATCAATTAAATTCTTATAAATTGGATTATGTTTGAGTACCTTAAATGCTTTATTTCTTAACTTTATTGCTTGTTTGCACTCATTTGTCCACCATGGCACCATTTTCTTATCAATCTTACTCCCTGATTTCTTTATAGAATGATCTGCTGCTTCCATTATTATCTTACAAATTATTCAATTTGCATCATTTATATCCCTACTCGTATCTACTTTTTCTAAGTTTATTTGACTCGTATATCTAAATTAAATCCAGTCTGCCTTATGAAAATTAAACTTTTTCCCAAGCTTTATATTCTTAGATTCAGTCCTACTCTTATTGTTATGGGATAATGATCACTACCTATTGTAGATTTTTTTTTTTTTTTATCAATGAACCATTCACAAATATCAGCTAAAACATTTGAAACAATAGTTGATTCCATCCCTGTTCTTATATTGATTCTTGTTCCCCCTCCATCATTAATACATACCAGATTTTTCATTTCCATTAATTCTTCTATAACTTGTCCATTTTTATCATTACATTTACCCCACAAAGTACTATTTGCATTAAAATCTACACACCAAATTACTTTCCCTTCCAAATATTCAGTTAACTCCTCCATTATACCGATCGTTAATATTTTACATGGATTATAAAAATTTACTATTTTGCATTTACCTCCTTCTTCCCATATAATTACCACATACTCTAGTTCTTTCCCTTTCCCTAATACCTGATATTGTATCCCTTGTTATAAATATTTCACATCCTCCTCCAACTCCTTCTGATCGATCTCTTCTTACACTATCGTATCCTTTAATCACAAAATCTAATGTTTTTAACCATGTTTCCTGAACACAAATAATTTCCGATTGTTCGAGCTCATCAATATAATCTTTAAATTCCTGTCCATTAGCGATTAAACTTCTAGCATTCCATTGTAATAACATGAACTGTTTTCACCTGATGGTCCTGGTTTCCTATCTTCCTCCAACTTTTTATTTATGTTCTCCCATGATCCCTCTTTAAAGCCCAAAAACATTTCAGCTCCTCTCTCTATTATTTTAATCTTCTCAGTTTTATGTTTGGCTTGGTCAGTGCAGTTGATGACATAAGCTATAAATATTTTTTCCACTGGTATTGTGACATTATCTTCAGTCTGTACTTTGCTTTGCTGTGATGTTTGACTCACTATTTGTTCAATCTCTCGTGTTTTCTGTTCCTTCACATTTTTAACTGCTTCTGCATAGCCTATGTTTTTAGTTGTTTTAATCTGTATGATTTATTTTGCCCTCTTCCTTACTTCACATCCTCCAAATGTGACTCTATGATTCCCTCCACAATTACATTTTTATTGTGCTGCTTCTTTACATTCTTCTAATTTGTGATCTTCTCCACATTTTGGACATCTCTACTTCCCTTTGCATACTGCTGCTGTGTGTCCATACCTTTTGGCATTTGAAACACCGAAGTGGTGGAGGTACATAGGGTCTGACCTGGAAATTGAGGCATCCTATTTGATGTTTTTTGGCAACTCTTTCTTCAAACTTTAAGGATTGACAAACTTCCAACTCTTTCTCCATCCACTGTTTTTGACAATCTTTTCAAGTTATTCACTTTTGCACCTACAACACTTCTCTTAATTTTATCAAGATCTTCATCTAAAGGGATCCCATAAATCACTCCAATTTTTTTATTTTCTCCCATGATTTTTTTCTCCAGCACAGATCTTTTGCAAATATTATCCACATTTAAAGCCTTATTTTTTTGTTCTGCATCTTTACATACTACCAATAGGTTTCCGTCTCTCAAAATCTTAACCATTTCAACATCTCCGATTTTCTTTTTAATTTCTCTTGACACCCCAATGGGGCTGATTTTATCCTGTTCTTCCTCGTTTTAATATTACTTTAAATTCCTCCCTCACAACTTTCCTCCTCACTATCCTTTCTTCTGAACTACTTCCTTCCAGTTCCCGTTTACTGCCTTGGCTATCACAAATACCCTTTCCTTCATCCATTTTATTTCTTCCAAGACCTCTTTCCACTGGCGTCCACCCTTCAAAAATCTCCATCTTTCTCATTACCTATTTCCATGTCCATCCGAACCATTCACATACCAGTTTATGCCCAATCTGCATTTTCCAAAAGCGATGTTTGTTTTTGAATTTTGTTTGGGTAATTTTGGAAACTTATTACAGAGAACAAATTCTAGGACAGCTAAGTGTGAAGACATGTGAAATGGTTGCTGATAGAAGTTGAGTTTCTTCTCTAAATTGTATTTTTAAAAGCTTTTTAGACAGACCAGTGCACTGAACATCATTTACAAAAAAAAAAAAAAAAAAAAATAACAATTGAGAATCCAAATTGTTAAATTCTTCAAAAGGGGGACAGCATACCATCCGGGTTCAATAATTGATTTACCAATATTGTATTATCAAACTCATTTCCCAGAAAAGAGGGATTACTCAAAATGTCCCTGATTCCATGACAAAAAAAGTCTGGCAGTGAAATTATTTTATTTTGATTTTTTTATAAATAAAAGAGAAAAAAAAATGCAGACATGTTAATCGGGATTTTATCAATATAAAATTACAAACAAGAATGTTTGCCACCCAGCATTTTGGACCTAACAGGTTTATTATTCCACGGAGGTACGACTTCTGATCAACTGGCAAATTTGATCTTGCATGGATTATTTAAAGTATGGAACTCTAAACCATTTAACTCATAAGGGTTCAGAGAAAGAGTTTGTTGTACAACAGTTTTTTATTTTTATTTATTATTTTTTTTTGCGACACTACGAGGCCATAGTAGTATAGTAGCCAGGTCTAGAGAGCTAATGCAGTGAGTGACAGCAGGACGAGAGACATCTTTTGCCTTGGTTACCAACATTGATTTTCTTAGAGGTTCTTCTTTATTGCATTAATTTGTTTGTTTGTTTAATTGTTTATTTAAAAAGGGTTTCTGTCAGCAGGTGGCAGTATCTAATGTTATCGCTGGGGTATGTGGACTAGTAACTCCTCCCCTCTTCGCGCTGCTTCTGTTAAGTTCTTCCGGTGGACAACAACGGAATTATGTTATGTTTTTGCTCATTTTTGAGGGTCGTTGGATGAAAAATAGAATATTTCAGCTATAATAGCCGCTTTATACCCTGAGCTACAACGTTTGACTGTGACACAGAACCAACATGGACGTCCCGAACCCTCCTGAAGGTGAGCAGAGCTCTGCTGCAGCGCAGCCACGATGTTAGCCGCTCTAGCTAACTCGTGAATAAAGGTGCGGTTCCAGCGGCGCATTCTTTGCTTTAAATGTTGAGTTATGTGTAACGGAGGCATTTAGCTATTGCTGCCTCATATTTCAGGACATTCAAAACAATAGTCGACTAAAGCGCTGCACGTGTAAAATTAATCAGTAGCGTAAACGGTGAAAATAAATGAATAAAAATTGAAATAAAAGTAGAACCAACAAAGTTATAAGGTGACCATCAGTTAAAAGTCAAATTTAAACGAAGTTTTAATAGGCTTTAGGGCCATTCCACTTTATTTTTTCACCATTTAGTTAATCTTGAACATGCTCTTGTTTAAGAACTAAATGTACGCTCTTCAAGCTCCGACTAGATTATTCTACATTTGCAAAATTTTTCAAACGCAGTTTATTATTAGTGAAACCTTTTTTGATTTATAAAAAAATATTGATACGTGGGTGTTTATTTTTTTTTACTTTTGCATCTGGGCCATCTCAGAACTGGTTCAGCTCGGAAAGTACAGATTGGTGTTGGTTTTCCTTTGCATGATAATCTCTTCTTTTTTTCAGTCACTTGTTCTCTAACCTCCTTCCTGTCTGAGCACAATCTCTGTCAAGAGTAGTGTTTTCCCCTTGTTGCAGGAAGAAAAATTTAGAAGAAAAGCTTCTTCTAGATCTTCTCCTCTGACATCTGTGTTCTGACAGGACCCAGTGACCTTGTAAAGCAGCTTACTGTAGATGGAATCTGATATTCTCCATTGCTTTACACTGAATTGTTGCTTGAATAATTCTCAGAATGCTATTTAAACAGTCGCAGCAACAAATACTGGTACATTTCTATTGATTTAATCAACTTTTTTTGCTAAATGTAACTTCAATAAAATAATATATTTCAGGTTTACTGTGTATAAGTAAATATGAGTTTCACTCAATTAAGAAAATGAAAAATGCTCTTTAAATCAAAAGCAGCTGAAGTACCAGTTAAAAGAAAATGCTTGTCAAATTAATCGTGGTCAGAAATGAGAAGAAATTATTTAAGACAAGACAGCCTTTTCCAGGTTAAACTTTTGGGCGTATATATTTTTTTTAGGATATTTTTGTTTTTCTTATGACTGTATTTATGAACAAAAAAGAACATTAAACACTAACTCAAAGTGTGAAACACACCTTGGTCCTTGGGATGTCAAAGTTAAAGTAGACGTAGATTCAATTAGTAAAAACATTCAAACTAAAACAGATTAAAGATTGCCAAGGTCTTGAAAAATTAGGCTGAATGGTCCTTTAGCCATTTCTTGACTAGAAGCTGCAATCCGAAGCCAACTTCAGTTTCGTGTCTAACCAGCTGTTTCTAAAAGTCCAGGAAATGTTAAAGAATGTTAAGTTATATACATTTTTATTGATTTTTGGTTGCAAATTCATCTGATTCTCCGTATCCTTTCCTTTTTCAGATCAAGAGCTGAGGAATGTGATTGACAAACTGGCCCAGTTTGTGGCTCGGAATGGGCCTGAGTTTGAAAAGATGACCATGGAGAAGCAGAAGGACAACCCAAAATTCTCCTTCCTATTTGGGGGAGAATATTTCAGCTACTATAAGTGCAAGCTTGCTATGGAGCAACAGCAACGTATGTAGTTAAAGACACAAAGCAGTTAATGTAATGTAGCGGCACCATTCAGTTCTGACTTTTGCAGTGACATTGTGAAAGCAAAATCACTGATGTCCCTAAATGAGCATTTTATTAGGCCCAGGATTAATGCATCTCAGAGGAGCTGACTCGAAATAGAAGTGTCTAACAGAGATCATTTATGTCTGTGGGAGAGTGGGCAAGAATTGGAGCCTTCTTACAGCACAGGAATCAGTAGTGCCAGTTGGCTGGTTAATGAAGTAAAATGATTGAGCTGAATACAAAATGGTAGATGGTGTCTAGTCAGACTCAAAGTATCCATGTTTGCGTTTACTACTCTGTTCACGTTGCTGACATGCTTGTTAAATTTTAAGTGAGAATATGTGAAGCCAAGTTATTTTACCTCATTAACAAGTGCCACTTCAGCCAAAGATTTTAGTGGTTAATGTAAATAACATTTCTACCATTGAACCGATTAGAAGTCGGCAAAACTCTGGATGAGGGGATTTCTGAATCTCACTTCACTCCAGCGGGGGAAATACTACAAGCCTCAGTTGTAGCTCAGCAGCACTAAACACAAGTCCAGCTCAGAGAGAACACTCTGATGAAAGTGTGTTTAAAAGGTAAAGCTGATCAGTGAGAAGCTTGTTTCCCCAGCTTCTCAGTGACGAGCGTGTACAGAAGGAGCTCCACGGGACAACCGAGAACAAAACTGTTCCTCTGTCTCTGGGGAGATCACCTTGGCAGCTTTAGCAGGAATTTGACTGCCATGAGGGTCGCAGCCCTCCTTCAGTTACTCAATGCAAAACAACCAGGATAGAATACAATAGGGCTGGGCCGAAAGGGGCCGGGCCAGGTAAGGGCCTGCAGTGCAAAAAGGCCTGAAGTGGGGGTCATGAAATGATTTTCAGAATCATAGTGATGTGACCCCGAAGTGTATGTATGGCCAAAAGAGAAGGTATAAAGTAAATAAATATATCATGAAATAAACAAATGTACGATTAAATAATCTACAGTATTGTATAGCTTTAAAATAATTTTTAGAAACTTAAATTAATTTAAAAGTACTTGCATTGATTTGACTCCATAAGTTTTATTTTTTAATAAATGGAGGAAAATAATTTTTTTAGAGGGTTGTCAGTCTCTGAAGTCGGCAAAACTCTGAATGAGGGGATTTTTGGAGTAAAAAATTCCTGTTATTTTGGTAGTAAAGGTCACAGGCAGAAAAGTTTGGAAACTGCTCTATTATCTTATAATAGGTGGAATTCCTCACCAGGTTATGAATATGATAAATTTGTCCTTTAGAAAAAAAATTAGACACCTGTATAAGTTTTCAAATATGATTTTTTTTATAACAAAACTATTTTTACAGTTAAAGTATGGGTTTTAACCACTCTAAACCTAGAAAAACCCATGTGTATGGATGGTCCGTGTACAGGCAGTTTGTTGTTTTTGTTTGAAATGAAAAAACAAAAATAGACTAATTTTTTCGTTTATTAAACCAAAATCTGAAATCGGACATCTCAGCTCGGTTCGTTATCCAATTTACCATTTAGTGCACAAAACAGAAATACAGAAATGGGGGAAAAAAAGGGTTACGAGCGCTCAGTTTCGATTTTCATCATTCCATTTTTGACAAGAGGTCTGACCCAGAGGTTCTCTCTGTCCGGTTTACACACGGGGACCGTATCACACATAGACATTATGCAGGCTGCAGACAGACAAGCTTTTTCATTTCATGCTGTAGTATTTTCTGCCAACTCCAAGTCAGTTTAAATAATGCTCCTGTAAGAAACATAATACCGGGCATCTGGTCACCGAAAAAATGGTTAGCCTGAGTTTTTATTTTGAAAAGCCAGAGCGCGGTGGCTTGATTTCCCACACCAGCTTGCAGCCATACCTCCCTCGTCTCCGGACCAGCAAGATGGCCTCCATTGTACTGCACCACCAGCAGCGGTAAATAGAGGTAAGTATAGTATTAATTAGACACAAGTTGTTTAAAGATGTTTTTAGGCTAGAAAGTAGACCTCGTAGTTTCTTCTATGCACTTAGTTCATCCAAAATTAGGCTTCTTAGAAATGTTCTCTGGAGTTTTTGGCGCAGCATAGCTCCGCTAACGGGGCCAGGCGGCACCAGGCTCAGCGGGTGGGTGGAGTGTGTTTTCCCCGCTAACCGTGGCCTGATCTCGGCAAGTCACCCTGTCGTTTTCCGCTGCTTGTTATCTGTTCATAGCGTCTCAAAGTGTAATATGAAGAGTTTGATGTCTTTGTGGGCTATATGTGCTGTTTGATTCATGTACCAAAATATAATATTCTTCTCTAGAGAGTTCAATACTTCTGAAGATATATTCTTCTTAACTTTGCCACAGTGTTTTCTTCCAATTCCAGTTGCTAATATCTCCTTCCCTTTGAAAATTCTTTGTGTATGTGTGAAATATATTCTTGCCTTCGATTGGCTTCTTACGTGCAGTATGAACTTTTTAAAATTGTTTTTTATTGTTCCTGACAGGCATCTCTTCAGGAGAGGCCTCAGCTCCAGGTTTAGGATGCAGCTTCCCAGAATCTCCCAGTGATTCTCTTCCTCCTCCTGACATGGTCTTCTTCACTGTCTCATCTTTTATATACACAAATTATAGGAATATCTTTTTATGATTCCTTGAACATGGGCTGAAAATCTGCTTTTGTTGTTTTAATAAATACATTTTTATGAATAAATTTATTCCTGATTATTTTATAAGATATGAGTTTGATAAGAAAATAAGTTTGGTAAGTGTCTAGTAAGTATTGTAAATAAATCATCCAGTTATAAAGCACCAACTGACTGGATACAGGTTGGTAAAATTTTAATATGAAATAATTCTTTTGTTTTTTTTAGTTATCCAGCGCAAAGGAATAATGGAGAGAATCAACTCAAAAGTTATGTTTAATCAGTTGAGACCAATTTATAAGCAAATCTTGTGAAGGGGACAAAGGTTTTCATATTTTGTTGGACAGTGATACTTCACTTATAAAAGTGTGAAAAAGTATCATGAGGTGATAAACCACGGAAGAGGATTAGGGCCCCTTAACATTTAGCTAACACCAGCATTATTATTTCTTTAGAAAGTCAGAATTCTGATTTAAAAAAAAAAATCAGAATTTTGAAATTAAAATTGGAATTCTAACTTTTTTCTGTGGCCCTCATATTCTTCCTAGATAATTATTTATTTAGTTAAGCTTTTATAATTTCATAAAATTGGTGCATTATTTTAAACATTTCCTACTTGTTAGATATTGGAAATGGCTACATTTTCATTGTATCTTTTGGACAGTCATACTCTGTGTGTTTGTCACATAACATTTTATAATCGGTAAATGTGCGGCAAAAACTAGTGGTGGTAGAGGGCCACATTGGGTTCAACTTGGGGAATGTTGTCTGATGCGAGTTTTAAACCAATTCCAGGTCACTTTGTTCAATCAATGATTGGTTTATTCTGTTTTAGATTTTCTTGCTTTGAACATTGAGAGAAGGACTGAGACACAGACTGACAAGGTCAATAATGCATAAGAGCTAACATAATTCGATAAGGCAACATAAGTCAACAGAAATCATGACGACTCTGCTCACCCAACTTCCAACACATAAAGCCAGCGCGTCAGTAACAGTGCCAGTCATACCTGGTGACGGTCACGCCCACCTCGACACACCCAGCACCCTAACAAAGACAATTGCCATTTCAACATAAATATTCTAATTCCAAAGGAGAAAACAGAAAACCAGTATGTGGACTAATATTGACACTTCTCCTTAATATTTGGTTGCACAGCCTTTGGCAGCAATGACAATCCTCCAAACGTTTATTATATTCATATAAACTTCTTGCATTTCTGTGGTGGCATTTTCTTCCACACTTCTTTTACAATATGCTCAAGCTCTTGTACATTTGCAGGGTTCCTTTCTCCAATGGCAGATTTCAGCTCCACCCAAAGATTTTCAACTGGATTGAGATCAGGACTCATAGCTGGCCATTTTAAAACAGTCAATTTTTCCCTTTCAACCATGCTTACGTGCTTTTTGAGGTGTGCTTTGGGTCGTTATCTTGCTGGAGGACCCAGGATCTTCACCTCAAACCAAGTTTCCTTACATTGGGCAAGACATTTCGCTCTAGAATTGCATGATGATCTTCTGATTTCATGATGCCTGTGATACGGTCAAGGCCTCCAGTACCAGATGCCGCAAAGCAGCCCCACAGTATTACAGATCCTTCACTATGCTTGACAGTTGGCATAGTGTTTTTTTTTCTTTAAAGATTTCATTGTGCCGTCTGTAAACATACCGTTTGTGTGAATTACCGAAAAGCTCCACTTTAGTTTCATCTGTCCATAAAATATTGTCCCAGAAGGCTTGAGGTTTGTCCAGGTTCTCTTTTGCAAAGGTCAAGCGTTATTTTTTATGTATTTTCTTCAGCAATGGGGTCTTCATTGGCCTCCGCCTATAAAGCCCCACTAAACAAATCCACACTTTTAGTGTGCGCCGTGTGGTACTTGTTAAACAATCACACTAGACTGCTCCAGGTTGGTCTTCAGGTCTTTAGATGTTTGACGTGGTGTTTTTTCCACCATTCGCACCAAATGTTGAAGACTTCTGTCGTCAATTCTTCTCTTCCCCCCACATCCAGGGAGGTTCTTGACCATTCAATGCCTGGAAAACTTAACTTTATGCACTGTTGAAACAGGGACACCAAGGTCTTTGGAGATGGCTTTATACTCTTTGGAGGTCTTGTGCTTGCAAATAATAGTATTTGTGGTGTCTTCAGACAGCTCCTTTTTCTTTGCCATTGTCACATATGAAGATGGACTAACAGATGACTTTTAAAGCACCAACATGATCATTCATTGGTTAATTCATGTCACATGTGTGGAGGCAGTTCATCACAAGTGATCCTTATTTGTGATTTGCATCAGGTGAGCCAAATTGGGTTTCCATACTGACTTGCAGCAAAGGGTGCCAATGCCATTGACATGGTAAACATTATGTTTTTCTTTGTTGTTCTCATAATGTTTATGTTTTTAAATGTTTTTTTATCATTTGCTGTTTTGCATCAAGCACAAGCTATCGACAGTAAAATGTTGTTTCACTTGATGAATTTCCTTCAGTATATATTCCATTATATGTACTTAGACATCATGGGTGCCAATAATGGTGACCAGGACTGTACATAATTACTCAATTCATTCAATTCAATTCATATGGCTCTTACAACTGCTATGCTAATGCTATTCATAAAGGAAAAAACTTTAAACAACTGTAGGGTTTGAATGACTGGCAGAATGTTGCGGTTTGAGCGTCTTGAATTGTAGTTTTTAAACCAGAGCACAGAGCAGATTAAAGACTCAAGATTGGAAAAAATTGGGTGGACTAGCCCTTTAACCATTTACTGAATCAGAATCTATATTCAGAAGCCAACATTAGCTTTGAATACAAAACAAAGCTAGAATATAAGCTCTGTGAAGGTATTATGACGAAATTAATTATACTATTAATTGCCGCTTTGGACGAGTGTACAAAGTATGCAGGGAAGAAAGAACTTCCAGATCAGACCACTTGTCAAAAATGAAATTATGAAAATCGAAATTAAGCATTCATTATCCGTTTTTTCCATTTCTGTTTTGTGCACTAAATGGGTAATCGGATAACAGCCGAGCTAAGCCGTTATCTGAGTTCCGATTTTGGTTTAATAAACAAAAAACGAAAAAAACAATTCCATTTTCGTTTTTTCATTTTTTGTTTCAAACGGAAAAACAAACTCCCTGAAAATACACGGACTGTGGATCATTGCAGTTGTAGCATTTCAGTAGTGTTTCAAAGAGTTGATTATTTTCTGGAGCTTTTTTAATAATAGGTGAATGTTATTCTGTTTTTGTAGATCTTTTCAACCCAGGAAACAAAGATGTGGTTGACATTCCCCATCCATCAATGCAGCTGGTTCCTCCACCTCCAGTTGCTCTGTCAGCTGCGCCCTCGATAGATGAGCTCATTCAACAGAGCCAGTGGAACCTGCAGCAACAAGAGCAGCACCTCCACACTCTCAGACAGGTAATAGAATAAAGAAGAAACAATAATTGAAGCCATAGAGCAAGACTATCTACATCACCATACCCAAAGGCAAAATGTCACCAAAGATTAGCAGGTGCAGAAATGTTAATATGTTAATAATGTCTACTAGGTACTCTGAGTACACTTAAAGCTCACTTTCTTAATACCTGTTTAAGTTTTTATATAAAACATTTTTAGACTTTTGTTCATGCTGAAGATGACCTGTTGTTTAAACCATGTATTAGGCTAAGGTAAAAAAAAGTGGAATTGAAGCAATTTTGAATGTGGCCCAGTTTTTAGTTTCTGACTTCAGATTGTTCTCAGCATTTCAGAAACTGTTGATCTATTGGGTTTCTTGCACAGCCATCATTAGGGTTTGTAAGGACAGTTTCCTTTTGATTCAGCCAACATTTTGAAGCTGAAACTACAATTCCCACAGCTCAACAAAACTGACCAATGACGGACTGGACAAATGTCGGCTTGTCCAACAGGTCCTGATTTAAGCTGCAACATTTAGATGGCAGGATGAGAATTTGGAGTGAAAACATCAAAGTATTGATCCATCCCTTATGGTAGCAATGGTTGACTCTAATGGTAGTGACTTGATTTTATGAGGAGTATTTTCTTTGCACACTTGGCCTCTTTTTGCCTCATTTCCACCGAGCGGTATGCTGTTTCATGGTCTGGTATATTCAGAAGAGTGTTTCCACCTCCAGTTGGACTCTCACTGGGCAAGTTAAACCTAAATGCCTGACATTGCATATGTAACAACTGCAACTTGTTCAGATACTGAGGGAGGCAACAAAGTATCGCTATAACAACCAGTGGCTAAATTTCTGGAGGTATGTTATTGAGCTACATCCCAATAACAGACCAGGCATAGTTGAAGCACTGTGCTTAATTCTGAAGAAGGGATTGCATTAAGGGAATACTTTCTGTAATTGAATAATTTTTTAATCACAGAAAAATTTGAAGCCCATGCACAGACGGTTTCAACTTTACTCATATAGTACATTATGTAGGCAACTAAATCAATCACTAAAAAAAAAAATCATTTCAAAATATCATCTGACATGTACAATGAACTAAATGCATTTTGCTGACTGGGAGCTGACTGTGTGTGAAAGAGTAATGGACAGGTCGCTTTGGAGCGCATCTGGTTGAATAGCACATTCAAAACTGAAGTGATACATTTATCAAGCCTATAGTACAGCGTTCCCCCCGGTGGGCATTCAGAGGATGGCAGGGGGCGCTGGCGGAAATTTTTACAAAAGGGGGGCGCTGGGATTCCTTTGGGGTGGTGTTTGCTCGAGTGTAAACTTTACACCTTAAATGAATAACAATACCAGTTTAGACTTTGAGCAACTTGCTAAAGCTTTATTGTGTAGAACTGTATCGATGACAGCTCTCCTTCTCTTCAGTGTTTGTAGCTTCTTCTCTCCGCACTCCTGCTAATAGTAGCTTCACCGCATCAGTTCAGCGTTACACCGGCTGATGATGTTGCTGTGATTCACTTGTCTGGTGTCTGA